TACCCACCTGGAGCAGAAAGGCTTGGCCCTCCCTGGTGTCTGGCGTGCAAAAAAAGGTTTTCCTTCTCGAAAGGCTAATGAGACAATAGAACATTTTTTTTTGCAGTGCCCAGCTTCAACCCTGACGTGGCGTGGGTGGGTTCGGATATGGAACCAGCTAGGCATGGATAGAGATTGGCCGTGGGAATGTAGAACCCTGCTAACTGGTCATTGGACCGCTCAAACCTCGACCTTTACGGCCAACTTATTTAAGGTCGGGAGGGATGCGGTCTTGTGGGCCATATGGCGTCGCAGATGCACTCTAGCACTTGAAGGCGCCCATGTGGAAAGAGGCGAGATGATGGACATGATTTTAAGACATGATAGAAACATCAATCAGAGCCCAGTGGAAAAAAATTGTACAAGCAATGATAGCCCTCACAAAAAGATCGGACATTGTCCAAAAACTACATGAATTCTGCATGGACTGGCTAGGGGGAGAACAGGGAGGATAGATAGCAAAGATTCAGTGGGATGGCTAGCACTTGGATGACAACGATCGGTTGGACACATCGCAGAAAAACTACCGATTGACCTTCCACAATTGGACTGCAATTCCTAGCCACATCCCACTCCCCCTTGCCTCTGAATTCCCTGACCTATTCCCCTTACCCAACAATGTCTTGATTGAATTGATCTGGTATGGCCTTGACACAGGGTAACCTCTCCAACAGTGACTGAACCGATCATGATGGATAAGGGTATAGGGAGGACTGATAGTCTGCCCCAATCGCCCCCTAGAAGCAGAACCCGCCTCCCCGCCTCCTTGCACATCAGACCGGTCCACTGAAGACACGGTCGGAATTTTGGTACCTTAGCATGCAAAGGAGAGCTAATTAATGATGGTTGTCAAACACTCGCTCAATCCTGCATAGTTAATCCCCTTAGGATCTCAGGGTAATCAATGTTGGCAGGCGAAGTTCACGATCTCAAAGGAAAAGGGAGGCTTTTAAAAAACAAAGGAAGGGGGGTGGGACTAGTTTCTCAGCAGCAGATATCTGGCGCCTGGTGCAAGGGTGAAAAGGTTTCCTCCCCTTCCTTAACAACCTGCACAGTCAATCCTCTGGTGACCAGAGCAATCAATGCTGGCAGGTTTCACAATCAGTCAACTTCTCTTGATCCAGTCTGCATCTATTCTGCAATGCATTCTGTAAAGGGACGCTGGACCCGTTTTCCAGCAGGTGATGCTCCCCACCAATAGATGGAGCCTCCCCCCCGAGTGCTACAGTCTTCCCCCGAATACAACGTACGGTCATTATAGCTGAATTACGACTGAAAGATACCCCAAATTCAGGTATAATGACCGTACGTTGTATTCGGGGGAAGATTGTAGTGGTGTATGGCCCTGTCAGCACCACTAGCACCGCGGGAGTGTATGTGTTTTATTATAAAAAAAAAAAAAAAACACCACTGCTCACTAGGATGATGCTATATTACTGTATTGAATGGAACAAAATTGCACTGTAGAACCATTCACTAACTTCTTCACAATAACAATAAAAAGGTGACTTCGGACTTTACTCTCATAGCAAAAAGTACACCTTCACCGCCGGAAAAACACACCAGCGCTCAAACCTTTTGTCCTTGCTGCTCAGCTCGAGAGGAGAAAGACTCCTGAATGTAGACACTCTATACTACCCGATCTACCCAACTCCCCAAAATTTACCGTTTGCCCGCGTGCCAGTGCCGCCACGGGCCGGTAACATTTCTCACTGCCTTTCTGGATAAAAATCATTTAACCCCCAAAAAATCCTCAAAAATTTCCTTTTCTAACTCGCTTGGGCGCGCCGCCAAGGGTCGGTAGCACTCTCGCTGCTTCTGGAGGTATATAGTACTTCAAAATTCGAAAAAAGCATTTTTCGAAAAAATAAAATAGAAATTCACACTGCCGAAAAAATTGGCAAACCAGGCATGTACGTGGTCTCGCGTGACCGATGTTATCACAGTCCCCCTCGGAGGTACGATTTCTTCATCCGTTTCTGGCTATTTTCTTACGGAGGCTCCTGCGAGTGCCTCTCCGCCTGAACTTCCTCACCCTCCCTCCCCGTTTTTTTCTTCCCCGTCCTCGTCCCAATTCAAAATGTGCAAGCACATTTCTTGCCAAAAAACACTGTTTTCTCTTCTAGCTGCTTTCTTTATTGCATCCTCGAACAATTCCCTTGGGTATCCAATTACCTTCAGCTCCTTGCTCAAAGTCACAAGGCTCCACCAGGTCGTAACTTTCGAGTTGGTATTATCAATCAGCCTGCAAATGGTGTTAAAGATCGCTGTAAATTTATGTACGCTGGGTGCATATGAGTCAAAATCCCTCAAGGTTATGAACCGACCCTTCTCTCCTCTCCAGATCGTTTCCAAATTCTTGAATTTGTGCAGCGTATATATCTATGCAGGTCTGTCTACCACAATCATTTGTGTCTCCAAATACTCTAGTATCCCATTACCACCATCTGTTCTCTCAAGTAACAGATCCTYATGGTAGCATTGATCAATCCTGTCAGATGTGTATAAGAGACAGGGTCTGTCTACCACAATCATTTGTGTCTCCAAATACTCTAGTATCCCATTACCACCATCTGTTCTCTCAAGTAACAGATCCTTATGGTAGCATTGATCAATCCTGTCCAACAGTTCTTCCATTTCTTTTTTGCCTCTGTGTCGCCTTGAATCATACCACCCGATTRACAGCAGGTCATSRACAAACCTTCCCCCGTCAATGCATCTTGCATCACATCCAAGGGATGTGATAAATTGGTGTTCCGCAAACATACACATTATGTTGGCCAAGGGTGGACTCGCCCTCCCTCCCATTGGGATYCCAACTRTCTGCTGCATTAGCTGTTCCRWCGAGTAGAAGAAMGTGTTGTTAAGYTGSAATTMCGTTAGGACTATCAATCCATTCATCAGTACAGATTTCCATCCAGATTCATTGTGTGATTTTCCAAAAGTAGCTTTCTTTCCTCTGATCTTCAGTCGAATCCAGTTGTGACCTTGATCCCGGAAATGTTGCACAATCCAATTTACTGCTTTAATGATTTCACCGTGCGGTAGCTTAGTGAACATTTCTTTCACATCATATGTTCTTGCTGTGATACGGCAGCTCTCACCCAGTGATTCATTGGCTTGTTTGTTGCATTTCTCAATCTTTTCTTTCAGACTCTTTGCACCCTCAATGTTCAAGTGCCTTATCCTTAGTGTTTTTATCATAAAATTCAAACTCTGCGACAAATATCTCATTGCACACTTGATGGGACTAAGAAATGACGGTACAATAAGTCTTTTCTTATCCAAGTCTTTATCCTTCGACAGTATATAAGCCTGTTGCAGCTTTCCTTTCTGGTCCCATTTTGCCATCTTCGTGAGTTTTTTATCCTGATATTCCTTCTTCATTCTTCTCAGAACACCCCCCCTTCCTCAGTGATTTTTTTATACCCATCATTATTATTGTAGGTTTTTTTCATTGCCCTCTCATATAGCACTGGGCATTCAAGCACTGTAGCCCCTGGGTTCCTGTCAAGTGGTGAGAATACAAGTCCCATGAAGGCTTGCTTCAGTACCAACACATACTCTGTGTCGAATCCGCCCGAATTCCTAGCGTTTGTGCCATATTCTTTCCAGTTTACCTGAAATTTCCAGTTCTCATTCATGCATCGTATCTTTTTTAGAGGTTCCAAGGCCTCATTGCATGCGAAATTCACTTCTTTTGCAGTGAGTAAATTACCAGGCACAGGAACATTCTTCGCATTGCTTACCCACTCTTTTATCCCCTCGACCTCCCCAAGTCTAACTTGGACGTGCCCGTCGCAACGTGGCAGGTCAAATGCTTTGCAAGTGCAGGACCATCCACTTCCTCTTACAAAGCGCTGGTGGTTATGTAGGATCTCCCCAACAGACTTTCGTTTCTGCCAGACAGTTCTCATCCTACCAATCATCAAGCTAGACAGGTTCGCCGACACAATCTTATCATGAAGCCATGTCTTAATTTACTGTGTATTTTTCCTTTGCTTATCGTTTTCACATACGGTAATTTTACCGTGATCCTATGCCTCGGGTTAATACCAAAACGCTGCTTAGTGATCCTTGTCAGCAATCCCCTAATGATTTGTCTCCCTCTCACTGCGTTAAGTAATTTAACCCCACCATTTAGTTCCACGAACTCATCCAAACTTTTTTTGTACAAAGTTTTCCTTTTCCATGGGGCACGGAGCAAGTTAGTCACTTCAGCCTTTGCCATTTCTGATCGGTTCTTTGTTTTTACAAGCTTTACAATGCTCAATTTCCCTCCCTGTTGGATGAACAGTTTCGCATCCTTCATTAACATTTTCTTTCCTGCCTTCTCTATAATACTTGAACCGAAGAGTAATTTTACCAACCCCCAAGCATTCAACCATTGTTGTCCATTATTATTTATAGTACTCAGATTTTTAATATTCCCTGCTTTCTTAAGGATTTTCAGTAGACTAGGTTCCCCTTCTATTTTCAGTTGTTCACATTCAAACAGAATGACGTTTTTGTGCCTATACTGCACATCTTTGTCCTTAGTCTACTTTCTTGGTTTCCTCCTTGTCGGCTTCTTCGCTTTCTTGGTATTTAAATCCGGGTTATTAGCCCCAATGATAAAGGATTTCATGCTTGACAAGGGATTCTTACTTCCAAACCACACAGGTGTAGCAACGTAGTTAGCTTGTTCAACCTTCTTCAACCATCTATGCAATTTTTGCTTAGGTGCAGTTTGAGTCACATGCATGTGTTCTTTCCATCTATTTTGGAGTGCCTTCTCGGTTTTTACTACGTATGTTAGTTTAAAGAACGGGGAAATCATAATGTACACGCATGAGTCAGCATTCAATATCTTCTCCCTTTCTTCCGGTTTCATTCCCAACCAATATCGGGAATACGCTCTTCCCCATTTGATATCACCCCTCATACACAGCCATAAGACAAACAATCTCTTCATGCGTTGAACTTCCTCATTGATCAGCGAGCCTAAGTCTCCCTGAAGCTTCACTAATCTCTTGTAGAGCCTCAGAATTGATCTCTTGCTCGCATTGCCTAGTTTCCCGCAATGTCGTCTTCTTCCTCTGACTTCTCGTCAGGATTTGAGCTGGAGCTGTTGTCTGATACATGAGTCTCTGCTTCACTCTCTTTGGCCTCTGCATCTTCTTTCTCTTCACTTTTCTCCATCTTCATGAGTACTTCGAAGTCTAGACGTGCGAGCTCCCAAACTCCCGCTTCCTTCCTCTTGTATGTAACCCCTCTCTTTTTGCATAATTCCTGCACTTTCGTGTAGTGCATGGCATCGTAGTAGATCACCCTGTCCTTGAAATACAACCCAAATGTACAGTCTCCGATCTTTCCGTTTGTCTCACCCTCTTCATCCCCTTCTGTGTGCTCCTCCTGCTCATCTCCTATATGAGCCTTCTCCTTCCTGCTCTCTTTGTCCTCAGTTGGCTTGGTTTCCTTGCTGCCCCCGCTGCTTTCTCTCCCTTTTGCAGCCAGAATTTCCAAGAGTAGGTCCTTCAGTTGCGCTACTTCCTTCAAGTTGTCGGCCGAATCATCAATCTTAGCTCCTAAATTCTGCACTACTGCATCCCCCTCCTTCCCACTGTCATCAGAGAAGATTTCCCCAGGCTTCTTACCTCTACTCCGCCTCTTTAGTACACTAGTTCTTGATTTGGTTTTATTGTTTCCAACTCGAGCCGGGGAGGTTCGCTCCCTTTTTTGTTTTTCGCTACTGGAGCTTTCCCGCAGCTCCCTCAATTCCTTCTCCATCCTTAGCATTCTTAATTCTTTTACCTCCGCCTCTTTCAATTTTGATTTTTTCTCTACGTCCTCCAGTTTCGCTGTCAGAATCCGCAGCGAATTCCCAAAGTTTTCTGCCACCCATTTCTTCATACTATCTTGCTTTCCCTTCACCGATACCTTCGTCTTTCCCTTCTCTCGTGCACCATGCTTTTTTCCTTGTTCCTTTGTCTCACCTTTCCCTTTCGCTTTCTTCTTCTCGCTCTCTTCTTGCACGGCCTTCAGTCTCGCGATCTCATCCTGATCTTTTTTCCTTGCTTCTTCCACAGCTTCCTTCAGCTTTAGCTTGTCGATAAAATCAGCTTGCTCCTTGGTAAAGAATGCGCGAGGCTGATAGTTCCCGCCGTTACTGCGCCCGTAACCTTGGTTATACTGACCGGGATTGCTCGTAGACCTCCTTGTCCATTCCACTGAAGTGGAGGAGGTGCCGCCGTGTACCCCTGCTGAATTGGCGGATAACCGTACGGCGCTGCTTGATATGGCTGCTGGTAAAACCTGTTCGACACTTGGAATGGTGCAGTTGGGGGTTGATATGTCGATCCCGGCATCACGCCAGGTGGGGGAGGGGGTGGAGCGTTCTCCATCCAGTATCTGCCGCAATTCAACCACCGCCCTCTAGCTCTTCCACGTCCTTGGGCCCGCATGCGTACCAATGGTTCCCGTGCCTATCCCAACAGATCCTCTTGCTTCTCGCAACTTCGCGCAGTATGTAAGCTACACTCCTGCCTGTTTCAATCACTTACCGGTCTTGCCGAATTATATTCCCACCGACTCTTACCGTCCTTCGTACTTCATTGCGAGTTAGGAGCAACGTACGTGCTGACATCTCCCCCTCTCATATTCCGACCAATCCACCTCATCTACCCTCGTAGTTCATCTTCACTCTAACCTCCGTTATTATCCCTCTTCACACATACCTTCAAATTCCACTATGCATGAGTTCTGATACACGCCCACCTACTACTATTTTGCCCCGTAATCGGCACTTCTCCCACACCTTCATTTTCCCGTTATGCCACCTGCTATGTCATCCCCCCTAAGCTGACGTGGCCACATCCAATCGCTACGTCCTTATCAACACGCAGTTGTACACGTGTCCCAATCGCCCCCCCTATTTTTTAGATCTTCGATTAGCATCACAACCCAACTCCATTCATCATGCCCTGCACTGATGCGTCTTCCCACAATCATTCATCCTTATGTACGTGTAGCCGCACCACGTGCCTAACGTGGCTTCGTCCCTTCATCCCAATCGCCCCCGTACTTAGATCTTCGACCAGCAACACAGGCCAACGCCGTTCCCCGTGCGCCGTACTGATGTATCTTCCCAAACTCAACACGTAGTCGTACCACGCGACTTCTCCCCCTATCGCACCCCCAGTCGTCTCAACGAACAGCCCCTTATGCTCGAACTAGCATCAAGCGCCGTACTGGCTGGAGAGAACGTATGAAGAAAGCAACCTCGTCATGGTCCTTGATACCATCGCCGAGCAAGACCAAGTACCCACCTAGCTACGTAAACTCAATACGACAATACAATACATGGATACAAATGCAAGACATCCTCATCCATACAAGGTACGGACGGCACTGTAAGATCGTGCCCAAGCTTACTGCGAGGTCGATCTTACAGTTCTCATGGCACAATAACAATAAAAAGGTGACTTCAGACTTTACTCTCACAGCAAAAAGTACACCTTCACCGCCGGGAAAACACACCAGCGCTCGAACCTTCTGTCCTTGCTGCTCAGCTCGAGAGGAGAAAGACTCCTGAATGTAGACACTATATACTACCCGATCTACCCAACTCCCCAAAATTTACCGTTCGCCCGTCCGCGTGCAAGCGCCGCCACGGGCCGGTAACATTCCCACTGCCTTTCTGGATAAAAATCATTTAACCCCCAAAAAATCCTCAAAAATTTCCTTTTCTAACTCGCTTGGGCGCGCCGCCAAGGGCCGGTAGCACTCTCACTGCTTCTGGAGGTATATACTTCAAAATTCGAAAAAAGCATTTTCCAAAAAAATAAAATAGAAATTCACACTGCCGAAAAAATGGGCAAACCAGGCATGTACGTGGTCTCGCGTGGCCGATGTTATCACAGTCACCCTCGGAGGTACGATTTCTTCATCCGTTTTTGGCCATTTTCTTACGGAGGCTCCTGCTAGTGCCTCTCATGTGCCTCTCCGCCTGAACTTCTTCACCCCAAGACAATGTATGGTCATCATGTCTGTACATCGACTGAAAGACACCCCAAATAGAGCTATTAGGACCATACGTTGTATTCGGGTGAGGAAGGTAGGATGGTGCAAGACAATTGATTCCAAACTGATGTAACAAGATTTTTTTTTTTTCAAAGATACATCCATTCCTTTGGCAATCCTTCAGTACCTCTGGGGCGAGGTCCAACCAGCAAAGAGGATTGGATTAAATGCCTGAATCTACACGTGTCTGTGGAAAGGTGCAGAAAATCGAGATTGAACTTCTTTTCTGCATCTCTGCGTAAAACACATCCAGATTCAGGAGCTTAATCCAATCCTCGTTGCTAGTGGGGCCTCACCCCTGGTGGAAAGAGCACCAGTGGGGAATGTAACAAGCTTGCGCTTCAATGGCCGGAAATAAGAAATTTGGGCAAGCCAGCCCTCGCCCCTGTATAGTGGAGGGTACAACCGTACAACTACTCTCGTAGTAGCCTTAGCCAACTGGCCAATGCATGCCCATAACTGTCGAACCAGCAGTACAGGTGATCCCTAATTGCATTGCACCCCCAAACAGCAAGAGGCCACAATTATGATGTACCGGTCCTGGCTCAATTTCTTTTTTCCTTTTTGGGCGGCAGTCTTGTGATATATCCACAGGTGATTGGCCCCGGGTAATTCGAGATTATATTGTAGATTATACTCTAAGATTATATGTCATGATTATTAGCTATAGATCCTGTTGAAGTATCGTGAAATTGAGGATCTCAACCCTGATGGACATCGTAATAGAGCCATGAATGTCAGCTATGATGATTCTGACTGAGAATTTTTGTTTTTTGTTTTTCACAAACACCGCTGGAGTTTCATTACTAATGATTGTCAAGGCCGGGCTCCTCACAGTCTACCCGGAATAATGGATAGCCTGGGAGCGTTACCCAGCTTCGCTTACAGGGAGGAGCCCTCCAGGGGACCGCCCCCCTTGAGACAAATAGCAATTGAGACGAAAACAACAACTGACAATCATGCAAGACCTCATCCTACACTCATCCCCACTAGATACCACTCGGCAGCTTCACCCTACTTGTAACTGCTGCTGAGGGTTAGGCGTATTCCCCTACGTCGGGAGATAGGAACCTAAGCCACTTCCCCGAACGAAAAAGCACTACCTCCAGCCCTACATACCTCCATCCACTGCCCTCCTACTGAGGAGAAGTTAACCGAGTTTCCAGGTATTTAGCTAGAATATACTAACCACTCGTCCAAGATCACCTTGTTGTAGACCACCTTTGACAGCTTTTCAACCAGGGCCCAGGCCCCAGGTCCCCAGGAACCAGCTCCGCAGCAGGACCTGAGCAGGCACTTCCACCGGCCCTGACGCTCCCGCATTGCCAGGGGTTACAGGGAGGCACAACTCACCCCAGTGAGTTATCAGCGTTGACTGGCCCTGGCCATCCTCCTCACTGTCCTCAGGCCACCGAAAGTTAACGGGAATAGAACCCAGCACCTACGTGGTGCTGCTCAGGCAGGAAACCTACTGAGCAGCTGGCTCAATTTGCATTTTTTGGGAATCTGTGTTTTTGTTTGTTTTGTTTTGTTTTGTTTTTTCACTGCTCACAGGATTCACCCTTTCCCTCAGCGTTTGTTTTCCTTAGCGGATCCCCTGCTTCCCCATCTACCGGGAGCATAGTTTAGCCTACCTCGGACATACGGGACAGTAGTTGCAGGCACTGGCGCTAGGTCTAGTACAACCCCAACCCAGCCCCAGTTGAAGCACTACTGAATGAGCCACGCCGCACGCATACTTCTGTCGCCAAGCCTAGTCAGCCTATGCAATCCTATGAGCATTTGACTCGGGTCAGTCTGATGGCGAGTGTTCAAACGTACATGAAAAAGACCAGCCGTGGCGCGATGGCGCGAGCGTCTGAGCGCCCGCACCAAGGCGTGTGTGCATGTGCAGGCGTGCGTGAGCGAGTGCAAGCGTGTGTGTGCAAGTGTAGGCGGGTGTGTCCGCTGATGTGTGTGTGTGTGTGGTGTGTGCGCATGCACGTGTGCATATCAGCTTATGTGGGCACTCGAGCCGCTGTGAGCGTGAGCGTGCGTGTGCGCAGGTTAGTATGTGTGTGCAGGCGGTACGGCGTGTGGACGGACGAGCAGGCGAACAAGACATCGAGATATGATGAGATATCATGAACATTGTTGGGGAGTAGGGATTTGGCAAGGACACGGCGGGTGCTGACTGGTTCCGGCTTCGTGCCTTTATCCAGCAGTGTTGCAGGCTAACACCCGGAGGGAGGGGGGGATTTTTCTTGGTGGGGGGAAGATCATCATGAGATGCTGCTTCATCTGCCCTGCATGTCATTACAGCATGCGAGTGGGGGAGTACACTCTTGTGGGGAGTAGGAAACATTGGAGTCTGTTGGAGATTGAACTGCTCACGGCGGTGTTCATCAGCAAGCGGCAGGACAGCAGGGGAAGTCACCATCAGCATCAGCATGAGCATCAGCATGAGCATCAGCATGAGCATCAGCATGAGCATCAGCATGGGCATCAGCATCAGCATCATCATGACCACATTGGAGGGCGTGGGTGTTTCGTCTTTTTTCTTTTTTTTTTTCTCTTCATACCCCTCTTCTTTCCCTCCAGCCTCTTCTCCTTTCTCTTTTCTTCCTCTCCTCTTTACTCATTTCTCTGCCCTCTTCTCTTCGTTCTCTAGTTTTCTCTCCTTTCCTTTGGGTTGTTCCACCTACTCGTCCGGAAAGGAGGGGTGTAGTGGGGTGACAATGGGCAGAGCGGAGGAGGGAATGGGGTGGTAGGGGGCGGGGTATGAAAAAGGTGGACGTAAAGGAGAGAGAGAAGGGGAGAGGTAGTGGGCGAGGGGATTGGGGATTAGGGAGTTTGGGAGGAAAAGGGATAACAAAAAAAAAAAAAAAAAAAAAAAAAGAGGGATGGGGGGGGCGGACGTACTCTACGTTGCTTCTAATCTAAACAATCTGATATACTTTCTGGCGGGCGTAGGTGTTTCATCTCTTTTCATTCTTTTTTGAAGTCTTTTCTCTTCGTACCCTTCTCTCCTCCTTCTTTCCCTCCAGCCTCTTCTCCTTACTCTTCTCTCCCTCTCCTCTTTACTCATTCTCTGCCCTCTTTTCTTCCTTGTCTCATCTTCTCTTCTCTGCTTTGGGTTGTTCTGTGTAGGGGGGCGACAACAGGCGGAAGTGGAGGAGGCAATGGGGTAGGCATCCAGGGCTCCTTCAGCAACAACCGAAGGTCACCTTTGTAGATAGCTCAACATTGGGAGTAAAAACAACTGAGCAGATCTCCAGACACCACCCGCCTGTACGACACACTTCAATTCTTTCAAAGGAAAAGACGCAGAGCCAAACCTAATCGTGGGCAGACCACATGCACCGTGTCTCTAGCTGCCCTGGCCTAGAGCCACGACTATCTGGCTATTTTGCCTGTTCGGCCTGTGGGACCAGGTCGTGGCCTGACCCCACAGGCCATGTGCTCATTCAGTCCAGTCCAGTCCTGCCCGGTACCACTGTCAGTATCAGGCCAGTTCAGTCCAGTCCAGTCAGTCCGCTGGGGGTATACCCCAGCTGCAGTCTGTTTTCAGTCTCATTCTTCACTTGCACAACTTGGAGTACGTGTGTGTTGAGTCTGTGTTGTCCCTTCCAGTTCCATCTCCATCTCCCCCATCCTCATCCCTTCGGAACGATTCCCACTCCCACCGACCCCATCCCGCAAGCGCGGGA